TGTGCGATACGTGTAACGTGCAGTTGTGCAACGCTATTGTGACGAACGTGTCTGTGCGCAGTGCTCATGCAACTGAAATAATTGTGGCTCGTTGACATCTCGCGAATCCTGCGCGACCAACCTCGCCGTTAGGTCTCCACAGCGTACCACGATACGTTCGTATTTCGATAACCGCCTATCCACTTCTACCCTCGTATCGCGTCGCCGGCGCGTCTCATTATCAACCGGCGAGGGTTGCATTGTTGCTCGCCTCCGTTCACAAGCCTCAGAACACAAGTAATTATTGTTCGTCGAAAAAGCTAACGACTATTCCAAACTCGTAACCGTCGAGGGATACTTCAATTGAAAGATCGTGCAAAATGATTAAATCAGTCGTAATTACAAATCGTGGAAATAATAGAAACGATTTTCACGTAAACCTCGAGGGATTCTCGATCAGCTTTGTACAGAATATTTAATTTATAGTCGTTCCTCACATGATATAAAAACATAAAGTTTGTTCTTGCGCATCCATTTGAACAACGGACGCTTCCACTTGTCGGCCATTTTGGATTTCTAACCAATCACGCTGTATATTAAAACAGTGCGAATTTTAAAATCGTAAACATATTAAAAATTAAGTTCTCGGAATGTAATATGTATGCGTGTTTGCACTGAACAATAGGTCATCGTATTTCCAATATGGCCGACGAATGGAAGGCGACGCATTTTACATCATGAGCTTCTTCACTTCAATGAAATTTTCAAAAGTCTTAATAAAAAATGAAATAAAACTCGATTTCCATCAATTATGTATGACGAAACACATACATAAACAACAAGAAGTTGAGATTTAAGAATTGAAAATTGATAATTGAGAAACGACTATAAATTCCAGCCTAAGAAGTGTGGCACGTGCACACAGTAGCAAGTAAGGATCATGAATGGGTAAAGTCAAACTATGTCGTGTTGTCAATGCTTGATTTTGATATAAGAATTACGTCCACTCTCATGCATATATTATGCCAGTTTATGCATGTTTAAACGTATTCTTAATTCTCTAAAACCTGTTGGCTGCAACAAGTCAAGTGTTTATGACTGTGGCGATTAATAGTTTGATGATATGACAAAATCGACAGCATGACAAACCAATGATGGGGCACGAAATCACTTACGACGTGGGGATAACCTGCCACGTAGTGGGGATAGCCTACCACATGGTGGGAGTGAGACATCGCATAACGAAAGCGCAAGAGGGGAACAGTAGTGGGGAGCCAGAACAGAGGGAAGAGATTCGCTCGTGGGGGATTTCGTGCCTCATCACTGCATTAATCTTTTCCATTCGTGATACTTAACACTACGTGCCATACTTTTTACATATATTTTACAAAGCTCGCCTGAAATCCCTTGAGGCAAGTATGATACGATATAAGTGGATACCTAATGGCACCTATTTGAAGGGGCAGCGTTTACACAATTTAGCGATTTAGTTAGACCTGGGCATGGATTAAGAGAACAGTAAACTGTAACCCCATGACCCTCTTTCGAAAAGCCTCGGTACTCAAAAACCGATTAACGTCTAACATTCGTCATGAAACAGACATTAGTATTGCTTTTATACGGTACGAAAGAAAGGCTAAAGGTTTCGGACCGTTCAATACATAAACTACGTTCGGACAATTAATACCTGCGTAATTCTTGAAACTCGAACACCGATGAGCTCATAATAAAAATATCTGATTCACGTTCTCTTCGCGGAGCGTAACAGAGAATCTTTCATACCTGTCCAACGGAGTTATTTTAACTGCCCTTGCTATTACTATTACGAATACCTCGTAATATCAAAGTACAAACGCATACGTATATTGGATCTCAGCAAGCGTCGATGGTAACAATTTCTGTTTTGTCATGAACCACTGAATTTCGAGCTGCGAACGCACCTACAGCCAGAAACCCGCTGCTTATTATCGCCACGCTTTAATTAAATCTCTCGGTCGCACGCGACCTCGTGCAGAAAATCGATGTCGATCATACGCAGAACGTGAAATGCCAACGGACTCAGGGGCGTAACGCGCAGCGGCGTTTCTGGGTCGAAGCGCTACCACGCGTGGTGCGTGCGGTAACGCTCGCTCATTTCTTCTCGCTAAATATTTCTATGATACTTTAAATG